TGTTATGAAACAGGATCAGGAGGGTTGGAGCAGGACAAGGGGAAATTCCAACTTTCAGTGAAAGAAACAATGGCAAACATGGGATTTGTCAGGGAGAGGGGTTATTTCTTCCCAAATGCTGTTGCAGCCAGTGGTCCCCTCCTTGAGGAGGACTGGAATTAATTATTTCTGGGGAATTCCAAGAAGATGCTGGATTTTTTTCCCTCTCTTTTCTTCTTTTGCTCCTATTCCCCACCACCCTCTTCACTGCCCTTTTCCCCTCAGACCCTGCAGGTCTCCAGCATTCCCATTCCTGGCTGTGGAGATGCCACCACCAAACAACAAACCTGGCTCCGAGGAGGATGATTCACATCCATAACTCCGCAAACAGGGTGGTTACATCCAAGTGGCTTCCAAGCACCAGCCCCATGCCAGGGGACCATCCAGGCTGGGGTGTGCCCAAGCCATGCCTGGTGGCCCGATGGCTTGGGTGGCGCCAGGGCCCTGCTTGATGACAGAATCTGGATTTGGCCTTTCCATCAGCATTTTGCTGGGGGTGTGAGTCATGGAGGGTGACTCTGAGCATGATGGAGCTGTTTGATGTCACTCCAAGCTGATGGGGCTGAAAAATCCCTTAGATCTTGGAGGATGAGGGAATGTGACAGAATGGCTTTGGTTCCTCCCTGTTGGCTGCAGACCCAAAGTGTTGGAACCCTGATTCCAAGAATTTTAGACTTTCTGTGATGACAGGCATTGATCCCCGAGAGAATGCTGCATTTGACCTGAGGGCATGGAGAAGGATTCCAAAACTGAATTATAGATTCATTATAGAAATATTGATGGGATTATGGGTGTGTAGTTTGAATGGGAGTGTGTAACATCACAGGGTGGAAAACTTAAGAGTTTAAGGTTTTAGAATATAGTAATAGATATAAAGCAAGATGGAGGTTTTATGGTGGAGGCTGGTCCTTCTTCTTGCTTTATAGATATTACTATATTCTAAAATCTTAAACTCTAAGTTGAAGGTTTTAGACAGAAAGTCTAAAATTCTCAGCAACCAGGGTTCCAACACCAAGGGACTCAAGTTCCTCAAGTCTTGAGATCAACAAGGAGGTTGATCCTGGTGCAGATCACAGCTGCTGAGTCATCACAGAATCATGGAATGGTTTGGTTTGGAAGGGATCTTAAAGAACATCTCATTCCAACCCCAGCTGTGGGCAGGGATGTCTCCCAGTGCCTCGTGGTGCTCCAAGCTCCCTCCAACCTGGCCTTGAAGCCAGCCTTGATCACCTGGTGTTTCATCCCCCCATGGTGGATTTGGGCTACTCCCCTCCATCCCAGCTGTAAATTTGGTACCCTCTGTCATCTGATGTCAATCATCTAAAACTGCTCCTCATAAGTCTTGTTGCAATACATCTTTCATAGTTCTGTTTCTCTAAAATATCTAGTCTTATTTACAAAAACATCTTTTAAAACTTTTTTCTAACTCCATTTCTCTCTCAACAATACCTATCTTATTCCATAACATTTCTAAATCAACATTTTTTAATTTAAAGTTTACATACGAATACATACTGTATAAACCTTCTATTAAACCCCCAAAATTCTCTACAAATCTGTTTCCCACAATCTGCCATGGGAATGACCTGAGGAGCTGTGTCCTGCTGTTTGGAGCCTGCCAGAACAGCTGTGCCAGATGTGCTTTGGGAAAGGGAGGAATAGAGCAGGCTGCTTGCAACAGGCCTGAGTGGAAAAGGCAAAATGTCTCGCTCAGCTTTTCCTTCTTTTCTACGTGTTTCTGAACCCCACAATCTCCCACTTCTGCTTCTTTACCAAACCCTGCTGCCACTGCAGGCCCAGATGAAGCAACCCAGCCTTCCCTGACCCTCTAAGGAAGGAGGAGAGGAAACAACCAGAGCAGCCTGGTGCTGTCTGGAGTCAGGCTGGACCTCTTGCACCATCTGCATGACTCAGGGACACAGGGAGCACCATCCCTGTCCTCCACCCTCCCACCTTATCCATGGCCCTTCTCCTTCCCTCTTGGCTGCACTTCACAAGCCTGAGCTGAAACAGAGATTCCTCCCTGCACCATTGAGGGGAGCTGAGACTGGAGCCACCCTCCAGAGAGAAAAAAGGGGGGAAGTGTTGACATTGAAACATCCCTGGATCTGCGTCCATCCCATCCCCTCCATCCCGGGTTGAAACCACGCTTTGTCTGGCTCCATTTACACAAAAGGGCCTGGCCTTGCACAAGGCATTCCCAAAGTCTGGCACAAACACCCTCTGTGCCTGCCAAGCCCCAAGTGGGTGAAGGTTTCTTTTTCCTGAAACTTCCAGGCCCTGTTAACTGTTTAATTCCCCTTGTGACACCCACTGGGTGACACCAAGCAGGTGACACCCACCTGGCCCAGTTTCTGCTTCGAGCCTCACCCTGCTGCCCTCCCCTCAACCCTGCTTTTTTCATGTCCCTGGGAAATGGTTTTAACACCTCCCTGCCGCGTTCTCCTGGCACCATTTACACTCCCACTCCCTCAGTTGTCTTTGTCCTGGATTTTCTTCCAGATCTCTTCATCCCTTGCTTGGAAAAAAACTGGATTTTGCTTCCAAAGGCACCGTTCCCTCCAGTGTCATGGTGCTGCTCGGAGCCCAGAGCCCTTGCAGTGGCCCTGGGCGTGACTGCAATGCCAAGAGGGCCCAAGAATAGCAGGGATTTGGGACCTGGCCAGAGCCTGGGATGCCTCCCAGAGCCTTGGCAGCCTCCCCTGGGGACACAGAGATAGGGGTCAGGTCATGCTTTCCCCATCCAGGTCGCACAGGAGCCCCCAGTAGTTGGGATTTGGGGAATTCTGCACCTTCTCAGCCCCTTGAAGGGCTGTTTTTAGCACCTGAACAGGGTCTGCACATAAGAAAAATGTACATTTTCCACACAGCAGGGACTTCCCTCCCATCCCATCTTATTCCTTTCCCTCACTCTGCCTGTCCTTAATTATTTCCCCCCAAGCTTTGTGTGCTTGCCTTGAATTATTTTGCTCTGCACCAATATTTCTACGCTCCCTGCTTCTCTCTTTCCACTTCTGTCTGAAATATTAATCTTGTTTATTATTATTATTATTATTAACCTCTCCTCTCTCCAATCTATTTAAAAGCTTTCTCACATTCCCACTTCCCACAGCCCATTTCTCACTTGACATTTTTTCTATTCAGCTGCACTTTGTTTTAACAGCCTCATTTATTTACTGCTCATTTATTTGTTTTAATTCCAAAGCTTTTCTTCTTTCTTGTTTGTGGGCTGTGTTCAAACCTTGTTCCCTCTTCCCGCTGAGAAGCTGCATTTTTCTGCTCGATTGGCTCCGAGATGAGCTGGATTTGGGGTGATAATTCATTTTCATTTTGGGATTTTTGATGGGATGAAAGGGAAGGAAGTCTCATTTTCCATTTTTCCAGCTGACTGAGACAATTCTGGTGTTATACTTTAAACAAACATGTGGATTAATACCTGTTTTTTCCCCTCCCTGCTCCAGCAGATCCCGTTTCCTGCCTGATGTTTTTCATGCCTGCATTTATAAAGAATCTTGCTCAAAGAGAATGTTTTTTTTCCCCAGATTATTTCTGAAATATTGTTGCTGCATTATCTGTCACGTGGGCCTTTCACATCCTCGCTAAAAGATGAAATAGTTCAAAATTCCTGCTCAAGGTCAGACCAGAGAACAGAATAGAAAACTTGGAAAACTGGGGGCTCATCCGCCTCCACCCTCTGGACACTGAGACAGAATCACTGTGGGTTGAAGCTGCTGCAGAAAAAAGGGAGGAATTGGGCAAAGAAAAAATTATTAAAAGCAAAAAAACTCCTAACAGGGGTTGGGAATGGGTCCAGCTTCCCAGGATTCTGCCTGAGCAGGGAAGGAATTGGCCTTGCTGCTCCTTTTAGGTCCCTCCCAACTCAAGGCATCCCGTGATTCTGTGATTAATTTGGGGAAAACAAAGAGCACCTGGATGTTATTTCTTCTGTTTCCACACCATTTGTGACCTTACAAACCTTGACCCTGAGCTCCCCTTGCTAATTTCTCTCTCCAAAGGGTCCTGCCAAGACTTTTTGACCACGATTTCTTTTATTTCTCAGCCATTTTCACTGCCATTTGTAGATTTTTAACTCCTCCATGCACTTTGTCCCTCTCCTGCAGCCTGAGTCATTTGGCTCCTCTGCACCCTGAGTCAAGAGGTGGTGTGGGAGCAGAAGGAGGGAGCCCAGAAAGACTGGAAAGGTCATGGGGGACTGGAAAAACCTGACAGAGTCCGGAGCTGGTCTCCAGGGAGCAACAAACATTGTCACCTGGAAACCCTGGATGGTTCTGGAGGACAGGAGAACAAAACAAAAGCATCAAACCCCCATCCCTGATCCCTGCCTGGGCTGTTGGAGCCTCTGAGTGACATTTCCAGGGAGAAATAGTGGGATCAGGGGTGGAACAGGAGGAACTTTACGGTCCCTTTCAGCCCAAACCTTTCTATGATTCCATGATTGAAGGAATGCTGCTGCTTCCTGCTTAAGGCATTTTGTACAAGGGAGATAATTCTGAATGGCTCTGGACAACCCAAAAATCTTTCCTTGCCTCCTCTCCCACTTCCCAGAGATATTAAAGCTCCCATTCCATGGCAGAGAGAAAGGATGGAGGGTGCCAGCAAATGCCCTGACTCACTCCAGGTTTTGTGGCTCAGCCCAAAAAAGGGACTCCCGTGTTTGGATCAGCTCAATTACTCCACAAATTAGCAATGCAGACAGGGGCAGGCCTCGGAAAAAAAGATTGGATGGGAAGGAGAGGTAAAAAAACATTGCTATCTGCAGCCTCATAATAGGTCCCTACGCACAAACACACCCAGCACTGATCACACCTTGGGTGCTGCCACTGCCCAAACCTCAAATTATTGCAATCAAAGGAAGCCAGGGATGAGGCAGGGCTGGTATAAAACCTTCCTGGGGCGCATCTTCCCACACTGCTCCAGCTCCGAGGGCACGAGGACCAACCATGAAGGCTTTTCTGGTGGCCCTGGTGGCTGCAGTCCTGTGTGCCCAGCAAGGTAAGGAGGCTGGGAGAGCCAGAGGAGAGGAAAAGCAAGGAGATAAATGAGGGAAAAGAGGGTTTGGCAGCTTTTGTTGCAGCTGCCGAGGTCTTGGCGGGTAATTTTTGGTGTCAGCCGTGGCCAGAAATATTTGGTGTGGTCGAGTCCTTGCTCTTGGGTGGGTTCTATGTGACCCAGAGGAGATGAATTCTGGTTTCTCACACCCTCAGATATCCAGCTCCAACCACTCACAGCTGAAGACACGACCTGAAAAATGCTGACAGGAACCAAGCAGGGCTCAGGGTTTTTTGCCTGTGCTTTGATTTTTGTTCCTGAATGAAACTCAAGGAGCTGTTGTGGACGAAAGCTCGGGCACCACATCTCCTGCCAGCATTTCACTTTATTCCCCACAACTCCAATTAGGTAATGAGGCTGCTGGCAGGTATTTGAAAGCCTCAGAGCTCTTTGCTCATAATTTGGAAGAGCAGTTAAGTGCCTGGGAGTGTGTTTGGAATGGGATGCACAACGCTCTGCTCTTGTCCTCTTTAAAAAAGGAGGCCCAGCCGTACCTGGATAATTGTGCGGGAATATCCAGTTGGGAAATCTTGGCTCTGGGCACGGATTTGCCAGCCCGAGGAGCACAATTTGCACCTTTAAGGTTGTTTCTGGCTGCATTTGCAAAACTCCAGCTAATGGAGGGTGGAGGGCAGACGCAGGAAAGGCTTTAGAGCAGCTCTAATGGTTTGAGCTGTTATTGCTTCCTGGCTGGAAGGGATTTTCCTTGGATCACTTAGGGAGCATCAGCACTTTCAGTTGCTCTCAGGCACGTGTTGAGAACTCGGTTCCATCTGCAGGAGGAAGTGGTTGGGGAAATTTGGCAGAAAAGCAGATCAGGGAGAGCTCCAGGGTCTGTAAATGGCAATAATCCTCGCCGGGTCTGGGTTTTGCTTTGCCTGCAGAGGGGCAGGAGCCCCCAGGTCGGGCTGGGGAGCCTCCAGAGGAGAGGAGGGAGGCTGAAAATTCCAAAGTGATGGAGAAATAGTGAGAGATGGAGGGGAGAACTTAAATCCAGTTTGCAACAAGGCTGATTTTGCCTCCTGCTACAGAGAGCCCCTGAGCTTGCAACACCTGGCACTGGAAAAGAGCAGAGAATCAGAAAATGATTAAAGGTTTGGATTGGAAAGGACCTTAAAAATCATCCAGTTCCACCTCCTGCCATGGGCAGGGGCACCTTCCACTGTCCCAGGTTGTTCCAAACTGTGTCCAACTTTCTGGAAGGTTTCAGAGCAAGCCAGTCCTGTGCTGAGACACCCAGAGCTCCCCAGGTCACAGAGGGGAGGCCTTTTTTCCTCCTCCTCAGGATAGTTAGAGACCAAAAGGGCTTTCAGTTCTCTTTTAAAAATGCTGCTGGAACTGTTTAACCAAGGGTCATGGGCAGAATCAACCTCAGATGCCAGCTTGAATCGAGAACAAACATTGAAGGGCCGCTGGAAGGGGTTTTCTTGCTAAAAACAAGATCAAGTTGGATTGGAAGGGGTGTTCTGTGGGGGAAAAAAAAAAAAAAAAATTAGCCTTCCTGGGCTGAGAAAGTCAGGAAAAACAGAACCAGGGAAATCTCAGCCTCGTGGAGACCCCTGGCTGGTTTGTAATTTTTGTTCTCCTTCAACCAAGAGCTCTTCACCGCTGGTGACAATGGAGCAGGAATTCCTGGCAGCAGCTCAGCTGCCCCAAAATGAGGAGCATTTCTTGGAATTTTGGACAGGAGGGAAACAATTTCCACCAATTGTGGATCCACCTCTGGGGAACGAGAAGGCACATCTGTGTTCCAATGGCCAGCCTGGAAGTTTTATTCAATTTACTTCAGTTGTGCCCAATAATATCTCACTTCTTTTCTGGCTCTGGGATAGATCTGGCTTGTCACTGAGGAGAAATTATCATGGACAACACCCCGTTCCAGGTGCTGATAGGAATAATCCATCCATTGTCCAGGGCAGCCTCTGCCAGGGAACTCCCTTTACTGTGGTGCCTCAATTTGGCTCCCATGGGTGTCATTAACCAGGCATTAACTAATTCATGTCTGGGCAGGGTTTTGCAGATGTAGGGTGAAAATATTTAAAATTGACCTCTAGAATTGGGCCAGTTCCTCCTCTCCTTGCCAGGACTTTGCTTTTGGAGGTTGGTTTTTCAACAAGGCCAACGTGGATCCTGGGGAGAAGAAAAAAAAAATCACCTGAAAATGCTGCTCAGGCTGAAAAATGTAAATTTAACCCCTTAAAATCTCCAGTCCAGAAAGAAAACTTGGTTTGCTCTCTACATTTGTTTTCTCAGCTCCATTAATCAAACCCAAACTTATTTCACTTGCTGGGAAAAGTTGTTCACACCAGACTTTTCCCCTTGTACTTTCCAAGGCTTTTGACACTTTTTTCCCCAGGAGGGAATTGCTGGAAATCACTAATCTGTGTTGTGGGTGTTTTTTTCCAGCTTCCTCCCTGTTTTGCTACGTCTGTGACAATGAACATTCCAACTGGAACTGCATGAAAACCTACAAGTGTGAGGACCATGAGAAATACTGCACAACCACGTACAGCACTGTTGGAATTGGTGAGCCCTAACAATGGGATTTTTTTTTTTCTTCTAGCAGTTGGTGGGCAACTTTTTTAAAGGGAATTGATGGAAATCAATGGTTTTGTTGGAAAGAAGTGATGATTTTGAGGTTGAAGTGTCTCAATGTGATGAGTGGGAATATTTTGAGGTAGAAGGGACCTTCAGGATCATCTTGTTCCAGGGACAACTCCCACTAGACCAGGTTGCTCAAACCTGGCTTTTGACACTTCCAGGGATGGAGGACCCACAGTTTCCCTGGAAAACCTGTGCCAGGGCCTCACCACCTTTTGGAAGGGCTGGCTGGAGCACCCAAATTTCGGGAGCAGCCTCTGTTGTGTTTTGGGATGGAGAATAGAAAAGGGTTGGGTGCCAATAACTTGGTTTTAAAAAATGCACTGGAATTGGAATGCATTGAAAAAATGCTTTGGGAATGCATTGGAATTGCTGTCCTACAGGAACCACAGTATCATTTAGGTTGGGAAAGACCTCCAAGGTCTTCAGGCCAAACTTTGACTGGCCACCACCTGGGCAACCAAATCTGTGTGGGTTTCAATCAAGGAGTTCCCAGAGTCCCACACTTGATCCAGGACTTGTGGATTCACACCCAGCCCTGTCAAACCCCCTGAGAGCTTTAACTGAGTGGAAAATTAAGGAAATTGCAAATCCCTCTCCTCTGGCCGCCTCTTCCAACAGAATCCTAAATCCCAGCTCTCCTTTCTCACCCCTTCTCCTCCCAGGCAAGGACGTGGGGCACCGCATCACCAAGAAATGCTCTGCGGACTGTCCCGAGACCAACGTGAATTTCGGGATGGCCGCGTACTCCACCAAGTGCTGCGGCACCTCCCTGTGCAACTTCAGCGGCGCCAACAGCATCCGGATCAACTACGCCGTGGTCCTGCTGGGAATCCTGGGAAGCTTGGTCTGCGTGCTCAGGGTGGGATTGTGATCAGGCCTGGCAGGAGATTGTGACCACCCGAGGAGCCACGAGGAATTCCCCGAGTGAGAAACCTCAGCCGAAGGTTTCCAGCAGCGACCCTGTTGTATTCCAAGACGTTGCTTCAGATCCCAACACAACACCTATTTCCCCCCCGCCCCTTGTTTTATACTAATTTTTCCCCTGGAAAAGCTGTTTTGATAGCACGTGTGTGATACTTGTCAGACAAAATAAAGATTTGTGTTATTCTAGAGTGTGTTTGTTGTATCCGCACCAGGGCCAACCTGAGAAATCAGAATTCCTCTTTTTAGCACTTGGGAGCCTTCTCCAAGCTGCCTTTCCTAACTTTCTTCCATCCAGCAGCTCCAGACACTCCACAGAGCCGGATGGTCTCCCAGATCCCTCTGAGATAAGGAAAGGTCAGAGATGTTTGTGTTGCTCCCATTGCAAACAACAGTAGGAATTGTCTTCTAGATGCTGAGACACAACCAGGAATTTGGTCCTGCAGGAATTTGCATTGGGAAGTTCTCCTGGGATCTCTGCAAGGTGGGTTGCTCCAGCTTTTAAAACAGGTAAATGTCCCACCCCAAGATGCTGGAGATGCCCAAGGTAAGGAAAATGCTGCTGGAATCTGGAAAGGAGACCCCTGTGCCTGCTTGGAGAAGCTGCTGAGTGATTCCTCCTGATTTTCCTGTGGGAAATGGGCAGGAAGAGCCTGGAAGAGGTGATGGTGTCTGAGGTGACTGGGAAGGTCTCTGCTCTGTCCCTTTCCAGGGTTTCTGCTGCATTTCCAGGCTTGGGAATGCTGGGAATGGGATGGAGATACCCTTCAGCTCTTGGAGGAGCAGAACTACAGCTAAAATAGGCAAATAAAATAATCTTGGTGCTGAAGAGTGAGGAAAAGTGCAGCACTGAATTTTGGGAGGGTCTTTATAATGGTACCTGGAAAAAAGGCCTCCAGCCCTGTTTAATTTGAGGGGAATCTGGTGCTGGATTTGAGGGGAATCTTGGTCCAGATTTGAGAGGAATCCTGTACTGGATTTGAGGGGAATCTTGAGCTGGATTTGAGCAGAATCTTGTGCTGAATTTCAGGGTAATCTGGTGCTGGATTTGAGGGGAATCTTGCTCCAGATTTGAGAGGAATCCCGCACTGGATTTGAGAGGAATCCTGTGCTGTATTTAAGGGGAATCTGGTGCTGGATTTGAGGGGAATCTTGCTCCAAATTTGAGAGGAATCCTGTGCTGGATTTGATGGGAATCCTGGGCTGGATTTGATGGGAATCCTGTGCTGGGTTTGAGGGGAATCCTACTCCAGCAGCACTGCAAATTCCATGTGTTTCCGTGCAACGGGGAGAAAAGGCAGTGTTGGGTGAAAGTTGTAAAAATGGGATTAGGCTTAGTCATCCTATAAAGATTTAATTTCTGGTTGGGAAAGATGTTCTGGAATTTATATCAATGGGATAACTGAAAGGGAATTGTTGCAGAATTTCTGAGGGGACTATTTCCTCAGAAACCTGGGGATTTGGCACTTTTAAAAATCACTTTATGTTAATCACAATAGTTTCTAAGATGCTTCTCGAAGCTTTCAGCCAACTTAAAGTTCTACATTTAGTAACAACATCTGAGTTTCACAGCTACTTTTGCATTTCAGCACTTGTTTGATGAAAATTGCATTTTCCACCCAAAATAAACAATTGTTTGCCCTTCTCATGTGATAATTTCAACCAGGTTTAGAACAATATAAACAAAACATTCTCCTCCTTTCCTTCTCCACTCCACTGCGCCAAGGGAAATAAATCTTTCCACCTCACCTTCCACTTTCACCTCCAGTTAATTCCCCTGTTGCTCTTAACAAAATCATCCTGAATTTCATGAATTCCAAATTCTTGTAAACTGGGATTTTAACTTCTCCTTTTTCTCAGTTCTTCTCGTGTCATTTTTGTCCTTCCTGCCCTCATGGGCTCCTCTCATTCTGTCACCTGGCCCCGGTAGGGACAAAATATCAGAGGGCCATATGGACCAGCTGGAAGATTTCAGGAGCATCTCGTGGAAAATCTGTCAGGAATCCTGCAATAAAGCCTTGAAGAAATCCATTCTGTCCCTCTCCAAATCTCAGCAGCTTGCAGGAGACAGGAGATATTTTAGGGTTTGGCATGGATGAGATTTTGAGGGAAGGGAAAAAAAAAAAAATAAGCAGTGCCTGAGCTGCTATTTCTGAACCTGTCAGGGGATGCTGCTGGAGATAAACCCCAACGTGGGCTGGCTCTGGGATGGAACAGCACCCCCTCGGGATTGGAGCCTTCCAGATAGGCCCCAGAAAACATGGATTTACCAGTAAAACCTCATTAAATCTATCCTGGCTTGGAGAAAATAAAATATTTTGCAATGTTTTGCACTGGCATGGAGGGAGCTTTGTTTTCCTCCTGCTGGCTGCCACGAGGAGGCCGACAGAGCCAAACCTCGCCTTTCCTTGGAGCTTTTCTGGCTAATTGCCACCCCTGCTCCAAATTAGTTTCGCGCTCTGCCTATTGGGAAAGCCAAAATTCCCTTACTCGTGCAGGGCTGCAGAGGGACAGTGTTTATAAGTCCAGCTTGGAGGTGCTGGAAAAACTGACATCACTTCAGGAAACCTGGCGTGTTTTCCCGGTGAGAGGAGGGCTGGAGGTGGGGCATGTCAGAATCCCAAAATATTCCATGGGAGATGGGGGTCTGGGCGAGTTGGAGAGAAGGAGAGAGGGGATAAAGCAGATGGAGAGCAGCAAGGGCGCTGGCAGAGGATTTGGGGCAGCTCCTGCAGCTCCGAGGGCCACGTGAGAGGATCCAGCTCGACTTTTCCTGGGATTGTGCCTCTGTTCTGCGACTCGATGGCAGAAAGGCAACAGTGGGAGGGAAAAACAACGACAATCCCCAAGAAGGTGGGAAAGGTTCTGGTTTTATTCATGGAGATTGGATGAAACGCGACTTAAAGGGGGGAAAAAAAAAGGAGTAGTAAAGAGCACAATCTGGGAATCCAATGGAATAATCCTGTTTGGCATTTCACACATTTTCTTCTTCTGAAGACTTAATGAGTTAAGATCATTGATCAGCCAGCCCCTCCTTCTCCATGCTTTAATTAGTTTGTGTTTTTCTCACTGACTTTTTTTTTTAAATGAATTTGTGAAAAAATTCCCAGCTTGTTCCATGCCATGGGAGTGGGTGTTATTTCTATTTTTTAACTTACATGGACATTTTCCTTTGCTCTGTAGAATTTATTTTTTAATAAGATAACATTTTCTCCTCATAAAAAATATCTCAGAAATATTTCTGATTTTGAACTTAAAAAGGAGACAGAAAATGATGCCTGGCCCCCTATGAAAAGGAGTGGAAGGATTCTGCTCTTCTGATCTCACTGTCTTGACAATTCTGTGAGACATTTGGGAGAAGTTCCCATCCCAAATTCAATTTTAAATTTAAATTCCCTCAATTTCCATATGTGCAAGGACACGATCTTGGAGGATGCAGCCCGCTCCGAGACCTGGAAATGAAACCCTTATTCTTTTGCAGGGAAAATTGCTTTGTTTTCCTGTTTTGCTTTTCCCTCACTTCTCCAGAATTAGAAACTGTTGCAGAGTTCAACGTCAGCTGGAGCAGCTGCGTTGTGAAACAACCAGGAAAAGGAGAAGTTGTGGTGGAAAACACACCCCCCTCACGATTTCCAAAAAAACGCCCTTCTCCATACAAGCCCGGACACGCTGCTCCCAATTATCCATCATCTGACACAGCAGCCTCTGGTTATTATCTCTGGATCAAAGCGAGCACTGCAGAGGTATAAAACCTGCCCTGCCTGAGCCCTGCTTATTTTGGAGGCTCCCAGACCTCTAAAGGATGAAGCTTTTCCTCCTGGTCGTGCTTGGCGTCGCCCTGTGCACGGAAAGTGGTGAGTCCCGAAAGAATTGGGGAATCATCCCAAAACTTTGGGGCATGTCTTTGGTATTCCAGGATTTTTGCAGTGTGGATGGTGAAGCTGGAGGGTCAGGAAGGAGTTATTCCAGGAGGAAGGGGACAGGGGGTTTAACCCCACCTGGAGTTGGAGGTGTGATGAGGAGTGGGGGGTGAGATTCCCACCTCAGACAATTCCACAGACCCAGCCCAGCCCCTGGGATGGCTCCATGGGAATAGGGATATCCATGAGGGATATCCAGGGTAATATGTGCAGTAAATCTCTGGATTTGGCACTAAAGCCTGATTTTTTAATTTTTTTTTTTTTTAATTGGTTGCACCTCAAACCATCATTTCCTAAAGTGATGACATGGTTGAGCCACACGAAGGTGCAATTCTGGCTCCCAGCCCTTCCTTGTTGCTTCCAGGTGCAACTTTGCTGATCACAGAGTCCCTAAGGTTTTAAAAGATCACTAAGATCATGGAATCTGATCTATTAGGAAAAAATTCCATCATGGAAAGAGTGATAGAGCATCCAGGCTGCCCAGGGAAATGTTGGGATCACATCCATGGGAGTGTTCTGAAAATCCAAGGATGTGGTGCTCAGAGCCAGGGTTTAGTGCTGAACCTGGATTGGAGATCTTTCCCAGCCTTAATGATTCCAGGATTCCCAGCTGATCCCAGGTTTGGGATGGAGACACAGAGTCCCATTCTCACTCTGATAATTGCCTGGGGGATTTTTTGGGAGAGCACTGGGAAGCTGCGCCTCAATTTTCCTGGCTGGACTCTGCCAGTGACCACACCTCGTGCTCTGGGACAGGCAGGGAACAGAAGGTGCAGCCTGGAATATCCCTCTGTTTTAGGGGAATGGTTGATTTCCTCAGCTAGGGGGGCTTTTGCCTTTTTGCAAACTGAATTTTTTCACTATAGGATTTGACCTGCAAATTCCTGGGCGTTCTGGTCCTGGACTAACAGATTTTTTTGGCTCCCACTCAATTTGAGGAGGGAAATGTTCCTATTGATGGATTTCACTTGAAACTTGGAATTGTGCTCAAGCTCAGGATGTTAAGGCAAATAAAAGGATCTTTTCCTGC